CTAATCCCTCAACTGTTTCAATGCTAAATTATCCTGTTTGATATGTACTAGGTGCCTCTGTGGATGTGTAGGCTTTGACTTTAACATAGCCATTTCTGTGACCAGTCACAAGCTAATCCCTCAGCTATTTCAATGCTAAATTCTCCTGTTTGATTTATACTAGGTGCCTCTGTGGATGTGTAGGCTATGACTTTAACATAGCTATTTCTGTGACCAGTCACAAGGTAATCCCTCAGCTATTTCAATGCTAAATTCTCCTGTTTGATATGTACTAGGTGCCTCTGTGGATGTGTAGGCTTTGACTTTAACATAGCCATTTCTGTGACCAGTCACAAGCTAATCCCTCAACTGTTTCAATGATAAATTCTCCTGTTTGATTTGTAGTAGGTGCCTCTGTGGATGTGTATGCTCTGACTTTAACATAGCTATTTCTGTGACCAGTCACAAGCTAATCCCTCAGCTAGTCAATGCTAAATTCTCTTACATTTTGATTTAAAGCTTTCGTGACTGTAGTAATTCATATTCTTAGCTCTTTCGGTAAAGTCACGTTGAAGGGAAACAATAAAATAATAAAAAAACAGGACTGTCCAGAAGACAGTCCTGTTTCTGTCCAGAAGACAGTTCTGTTTCTTCACCTGAGGACGGCTACTTGTGTTGTGGCCGAAACGTCGCGAGAATTTCATGGTTTTATTTTATTATTTTATTCTCATTCTACGTGGTGACTTTACCGAAAGAACCAAAGAAGATTAATCCTTGCAGTCACGAAAGCTTTAAATCGAAATTTAACTTTATTGTAACCCTACAGGGTGAAGGCCCCAGTGAGCTGCGATCGGAGCACGTGTTCAGAAGCGACCACGTGGCTATGACAACACGATGGCTCTACGAAGTTGGTGGCTTATCATCACGCGGAGATGTTATAGCGGCAGCTAAATAAAACTTTAACGATTGGTGATGTTGAGTCTAAATGTGGAGGGGAGGGGGGGGAAACCCGGAGGGGTACTTGGAGAAAAATCCACGCGACCACAGTGAGAGAGACACGCAAACTCCAAATACACAGCAGCAGGCGTCAGGGTCGGGATCGAACCCACGACCTCCTGTACACCAGGCGAGGTAGTCAACATCTCCTAGCCACCTTGATGATGATGAGAGAGAGAGAGACACGCAGACTCCAAATATACAGCAGCAGGCATCAGGGTCGGGATCGAACCCACGACCTCCTGTACACCTGGCGAGGTAGTTAACATCTCCTAGCCACCGTGTTACATGGTCCCCCCCCCAACCCTCGCGTCGCCCCCACCCCCACGCCTCCCCTGACCCCGCCCCCACCTTTGCCTCCCCCCGCCCCTCACTCTTGCGCCCCCCCCGCCCCTCACTCTTGCGCCCCCTACCGGGCCCCCCGCCCCCCACCCACTCGTCACCCCGCCCCCTACCGGGCCCCCACTCTCGCGCCCCGCCCCCACCCTCTCGCCCCCCCCCGCCCCAACCCTCCCCTCGACGTCACCCATCGGACGTGAGGAGGAGCCAATCAGAGCGGCTCGGAACAGATTGTAATTTTTTATATATATTAATAGACATTTGCATGTACTAAGCAATATTAAAACTCGTTTAATGCAGTGGCGTACTTGACAATAGAGAAATAAAATATCACCAAAGCGATAGAAATCTAAAAAAAAATAACCTAAGGACCCTCGGCGTGAGCGTCGCGTGACGTCACCGCAAGTCACGTGGAATGAGAATAAAATAATAAAATAAAAACAATAACATTCTCACGACGTTTCGGCCACAGCACAAGCGGCCTTCTTCAGGTGAAGGAACAGAAAACTGTCGGGACCCACAGAGCTCCAATGAACGCTGCTAAGATTCGTAGCGTCTTTTAAGCTGGTTGAGAGAAAGAGAGGCACCTTGACAAAGGGGGTTAACATATCAAACAGGAGAATTTATCATATATTGAGTACATTTATTATATTGATGTAATTTGGACTCAGGTTTTTTTCACATCGGTTTACTGTATTTGAGTTGTTGCAGCCCGCTTTTGGCATCCTTGTACTAGGGGCCTCTGTGGATGTGTAGGCTTTGACTTTAACATAGCTATTTCTGTGACCAGTCACAAGCTAATCCCTCAGCTATTTCAATGCTAAATTCTCCTGTTTGATATGTACTAGGTGCCTCTGTGGATGTGTAGGCTTTGACTTTAACATAGCTATTTCTGTGACCAGTCACAAGCTTAATCCCTCAGCTATTTCAATGCTAAATTCTCCTGTTTGATATGTACTAGGTGCCTCTGTGGATGTGTAGGCTTTGACTTTAACATAGCTATTTCTGTGACCAGTCACAAGCTAATCCCTCAGCTATTTCAATGCTAAATTCGCCTGTTTCATATGTACTAGGTGCCTCTGTGGATGTGTAGGCTTTGACTTTAACATAGCCATTTCTGTGACCAGTCACAAGCTAATCCTTCAGGTATTTCAATGCTAAATTCTCCTGTTTGATATGTACTAGGTGCCTCTATGGATGTGCAGGCTTTGTCTTTAACATAGCTATTTCTGTGACCAGTCACAAGCTTAATCCCTCAACTGTTTCAATGCTAAATTCTCCTGTTTGATATGTACTAGGTGCCTCTGTGGATGTGTAGGCTATGACTTTAACATAGATATTTCTGTGACCAGTCACAAGCTAATCCCTCAGCTATTTCAATGATAAATTCTCCTGTTTGATATGTACTAGGTGCCTCTGTGGATGTGTAGGCTTTGACTTTAACATAGCTATTTCTGTGACCAGTCACAAGCTTAATCCCTCAGCTGTTTCAATGCTAAATTCTCCTGTTTGATATGTACTAGGTGCCTCTGTGGATGTGTAGGCTTTGACTTTAACATAGCTATTTCTGTGACCAGTCACAAGCTTAATCTCTCAGCTGTTTCAATGCTAAATTATCCTGTTTGATATGTACTAGGTACCTCTGTGGATGTGTAGGCTTTGACTTTAACATAGCCATTTCTGTGACCAGTCACAAGCTAATCCTTCAGCTATTTCAATGCTAAATTCTCCTGTTTGATATGTACTAGGTGCCTCTGTGGATGTGTAAGCTTTGACTTTAACATAGCTATTTCTGTGACCAGTCACAAGTTAATCCCTCAGCTATTTCAATGCTAAATTCTGCTGTTTGATTTGTACTAGGTGCCCCTGTGGATGTGCAGGCTTTGACTTTAACATAGCTATTTCTGTGACCAGTCACAAGCTTAATCTCTCAGCTGTTTCAATGCTAAATTATCCTGTTTGATATGTACTAGGTACCTCTGTGGATGTGTAGGCTTTGACTTTAACATAGCCATTTCTGTGACCAGTCACAAGCTAATCCTTCAGCTATTTCAATGCTAAATTCTCCTGTTTGATATGTACTAGGTGCCTCTGTGGATGTGTAGGCTTTGACTTTAACATAGCTATTTCTGTGACCAGTCACAAGCTAATCCCTCAGCTATTTCAATGCTAAATTCTCCTGTTTGATTTGTACTAGGTGCCTCTGTGGATGTGTAAGCTTTGACTTTAACATAGCCATTTCTGTGACCAGTCACAAGCTAATCCCTCAGTTATTTCAATGCTAAATTCTCCTGTTTGATATGTACTAGGTGCCTCTGTGGATGTGTAGGTTTTGACTTTAACATAGCTATTTCTGTGACCAGTCACAAGCTTAATCCCTCAGCTATTTCAATGATAAATTCTCCTGTTTGATATGTACTAGGTGCCTCTGTGGATGTGTAAGCTTTGACTTTAACATAGCTATTTCTGTGACCAGTCACAAGCTTAATCCCTCAACTGTTTCAATGCTAAATTCTCCTGTTTGATATGTACTAGGTGCCTCTGTGGATGTGTAGGCTTTGACTTTAACATAGCTATTTCTATGACCAGTCACAAGCTAATCCCTCAACTATTTCAATGCTAAATTCTCCTGTTTGATATGTACTAGGTGCCTCTGTGGATGTGTAGGCTTTGACTTTAACATAGCTATTTCTATGACCAGTTACAAGCTAATCCCTCAGCTATTTCAATGCTAAATTCTCCTGTTTGATATGTACTAGGTGCCTCTGTGGATGTGTAAGCTTTAACTTTAACATAGCTATTTCTGTGACCAGTCATAAGCTAATCCCTCAGCTATTTCAATGCTAAATTCTCCTATTTGATATGTACTAGGTGCCTCTGTGGATGTGTATATTCTGACTTTAACATAGCTATTTCTGTGACCAGTCACATGCTAATCCCTCAGCTAGTCAATGCTAAATTCTCTTAAATTTTGATTTAAAGCTTTCGTGACTGTAGTAATTCATATTCTTAGCTCTTTCGGTGAGGGATTAGCTTGTGACTGGTCACAGAAATGGCTATGTTAAAGTCAAAGCCTACACATCCACAGAGGCACCTAGTACATATCAAACAGGATAATTTACCATTGAAATAGAGAGGCACCTTGACAAAGGGGTTAACATACCCAACAGGAGAATTTATCATTGAAATAACTGAGGGATTTAGCTTGTGACTGGTCACAGAAATAGCTATGTTAAAGTCAAAGCCTACACATCAACAGAGGCACCTAGTACAAATCAAACAAGAGAATAAAATAAAAAAAAAATATTTCATTATTTTATTGTTTCCCTTCAACGTGACTTTACCGAAAGAGCTATTTCAATGCTAAATTCTCCTGTTTGATATGTACTAGGTGCCTCTGTGGATGTGTAGGCTATGACTTTAACATAGCTATTTCTGTGACCAGTCACAAGCTCAATCCCTCAGCTATTTCAATGATAAATTATCCTGTTTGATATGTTAACCCCCTTTGTCAAGGTGCCTCTCTTCTCTCAACCAGCTTAAAAGACGCTACGAATCTTAGCAGCGTTCATTGGAGCTCTGTCGTCACCGACAGTTTTTTGTTCCTTCACCTGAAGAAGGCCGTTTGTGTTGTGGCCGAAACGTCGTGAGAATTTTATTGTTTTTATTTCATTACTTTATTCTCATTCTACGCGGTGACTTTACCGAAAGAACCAAAGAAGATGAATCCTTGCAGTCACGCAAGCTTTAAATCGAAACGTCACCGTTTGTTTACATCGATCACGTGGTCAGATTACGACGTCACGCCTCGGGCAAGCCTTTCGCCAAATAAGGAGTGCTGCCGAATGCAATGCGATTGCGCGCCGTGCGCATGCGTCACTCCTATTCCTACAATGCATTGCATGGTGGGGGGGGGGGGTCGTATTTGGCAAACGCATTGCTATATTTGGTCTCTGGCTAAGCGAAGCTACGGGTGCCCGGCGGGATCCCCACGCCACTTTGCCGGCAAAGCAACGTTCACAAAACGCGTTCCTGGTCCCGACCCGCTATATAATTAAGTTATGTTGACCATCCGGCGACTGCGAGGATAAAAAAAAGTAACCTGCGCGATGTAAACAATAAAAAAATATATAATTTAAATGGAGTAAAAAGAATGCTTTCGGTTGGTGTTGACAGAAGAACAATCGAGCGTACAGCAAAAAAAAAGGACACTATTTAAAACGCACGCGGTGCGAAGTGGGATAACGGGGCACTATATGCGTTGAGAGGCCCACCGCGTCCTCGGGCACGCACGCCTTGACAACTGTCGCGAAAGCCGGGGAGGACGAACATGACGACGAGGCGTACGGGAACGAAGGCGAACATCGCCGCCGATGTCGGCAAACTTGCCTGCACTTCGGTGACCGAAGGGGCGAGGCAAGGGCGTGGGAATGTCTCCCCATCATCATCATTACCACCACCACCGCCATCATCATCAACTCCATACCGTCACCACCACCACCATCATCATCATCGCAAACACAACCCCAATACCGCTGGTGACAGCCCTCGAGTTGCTGTTGCCGGTGATGTCGACGACGACGACGATGATGATGATGGCGTTGATGTCTGCAACGGCAACAGCAGCAGCAACAACAACAACGGGGACAACGATGGAGATGGTGGTGGTGGTGGTGCTGATGATGATGATGAAGCAGCAGTATCTAAGGCGCGGGAGGACGCTAACAAGTCGCCAAAGAGGAGGAAACATATCGTGACGGTGGACACTTCCAAAGCCAAGACGTCGCTGGAGGCGCTGAGGGCCAGCCTGAGCCAGCTCAAGTGGAAAGAAGTGAGTCCCATTCAATGCGCCATCTCCTCCTTCCCTCTGCCAGATTCCACATAGCAGCTGCGATGATGGTGGTGGTGATGGTGGTCAGTGCCCCATCATCATCAATCAATGTTACGGCTTTATGGGTGCAGTTTCTGCGGGTTGTCTGTGTATCTCTGTGGGTCTCTGTGTATCTCTGTGGGTCTCTGTGTATCTCTGTGGGTCTCTGTGTATGTCTGAGTCTCTGTGGGTCTCTGTGTATCTCTGTTGGTCTCTGTATCTCTGTGGGTCTCTGTGGGTTTCTGTGGGTCTCTGTGTATCTCTGTGGGTCTCTGTGTATCTCTGTGGGTCTCTGCGTATCTCAGTGAGTCTCTGTGTGTCTCTGTGTATCTCTGTGGGTCTCTGTGTATCTCTGTGGGTCTCTGTGTATCTCTGTGGGTCTCTATCTCTGTGGGTCTTTGTGTATCTCTGTGGGTCTCTGTGTATTTCTGTGGGTCTTTGTGGGTCTTTGTGTATCTCTGTGGGTCTCTGTCTATCTCTGTGGGTCTCTGTGGGTTTCTGTGGGTCTCTGTGTATCTCTGTGTGTCTCTGTGTATCTCTGTGGGTCTCTGTGTATCTCTGTGGGTCTCTGTGTATCTCTGTGGGTCTCTGTATCTCTGTGGGTCTTTGTGTATCTCTGTGGGTCTCTGTGTATTTCTGTGGGTCTTTGTGGGTCTTTGTGTATCTCTGTGGGTCTCTGTCTATCTCTGTGGGTCTCTGTGGGTTTCTGTGGGTCTCTGTGTATCTCTGTGGGTCTCTGTGTATCTCTGTGGGTCTCTGCGTATCTCAGTGAGTCTCTGTGTGTCTCTGTGTATCTCTGTGGGTCTTTGTGTATCTCTGTGGGTCTCTGTGTATTTCTGTGGGTCTTTGTGGGTCTTTGTGTATCTCTGTGGGTCTCTGTGTATCTCTGTGGAGTTCTGTGTATCTCTGTTGGTCTCTGTGGGTCTTTGTGTATCTCTGTGGGTCTCTGTGTATCTCTGTGGGTCTCTGTGTATCTCTGTGGGTGGCTGTGTATCTCTGTGGGGTTCTGTGTATCTCTGTTGGTCTCTGTGGCTCTCTGTGTATCTCTGTGAGTCTCTGTGTATGTCTGTGGGTCTCTGTGGGTCTCTGTGTATCTCTGTGGGTCTCTGTGTATCTCTGTTGGTCTCTGTGTATCTCTGTGGGTCTCTGTGGGTCTCTGTGTATCTATGTGGGTCTCTGTGTATCTCTGTGAGTCTCTGTGGGTCTCTGTGTATCTCATTGGGTCTCTGTATCTCTGTGGGTCTCTGTGGGTCTCTATCTCTGTGGGTCTCTGTGTATCTCTGTGGGTCTCTGTGTATCTCTGTGGGTCTCTGTGTATCTCTGTGGGTCTCTGTACCTCTGTGGGTCTCTGTGGGTCTCTGTGTATCTCTGTTGGTCTCTGTGTATCTCTGTGGGTGTCTGTGTATCTCTGTGGGGTTCTGTGTATCTCTGTTGGTCTCTGTGTATCTCTGTGGGTCTCTGTGTATCTCTGTGGGTCTCTGTACCTCTGTGTATCTCTGTGGGTCTCTGTGTATCTCTGTTGGTCTCTGTGTATCTCTGTGGGTGTCTGTGTATCTCTGTGGGGTTCTGTGTATCTCTGTTGGTCTCTGTGTATCTCTGTGAGTCTCTGTGTATCTCTGTGTATCTCTGTGGGTCTCTGTGGGTCTCTGTGTATCTCTGTGAGTCTCTGTGGGTCTCTGTGTATCTCTGTGGGTCTCTGTATCTCTGTGGGTCTCTGTGTATCTCTGTGGGTGTCTGTGTATCTCTGTGGGTCTCTGTGTATCTCTGTGGGTCTCTGTATCTCTGTGGGTCTCTGTGGGTCTTTGTGTATCTCTGTGGGTCTCTGTGTATCTCTGTGGGTCTCTGTGTATCTCTGTTGGTCTCTCTGTATCTCTGTGGGGTTCTGTGTATCTCTGTTGGTCTCTGTGGGTCTCTGTGTATCTCTGTGGGTCTCTGTGTATCTCTGTGTATCTCTGTGGGTCTCTGTGTATCCCTGTTGGTCTCTGTGTATCTCTGTGGGTGTCTGTGTATCTCTGTTGGTCTCTGTGTATCTCTGTGGGTCTCTGTGTATCTCTGTGGGTCTCTGTGTATCTCTGTGGGTCTCTGTGTATCTCTGTGTATCTCTGTGGGTCTCTGTGTATCTCTGTGGGTCTCTGTGTATCTCTGTGGGTCTCCATGCCTCTCAACCCCTTATCAGTGCCCTACCTTATCACAGACCAATTCAGACCGTATTGGTCACCCCGTGCCCGTTATAAACCTCAACGTTCATCCTACAAAGTCCCATCACAAGGGAGAACACAAACACATATACAATCACCACTACTACACTCACCACTAGTACACTCACCACCACTACACTCACCACTACTACACTCACCACTACTACACTCTGCACTTGTACACTCACCACTACACTCACCATTACACTCACCATCACTACACTCACCACTAGTACACTCACCACTAGTACACTCACCACTAGTACACTCACTAGTACACTCACCACTACACTCACCACTAGTACACACACCACTACTACACTCACCACTAGTACACTCACAACTACACTCACCACTAGTACACTCACCACCTGTACACTCACCACTTGTACACTCACCACTACACTCACCACTAGTACACTCACCACCACTACACTCACCACTACTACACTCACCACCACTACACTCACCACTAGTACACTCTCCACTTGTACACTCACCACTACACTCACCACTAGTACACTCACCACTACACTCATCACTACTACACTCACCACCACTACACTCACCACTAGTACACTCACCATTACACTCACCACTACACTCACCATTACACTCACCACTACTACACTCACCACTACTACACTCACCACTAGTACACTCACCACTACCACACTCACCACTAGCACACTCACAACTACACTCACCACCTGTACACTCACCACCTGTACACTCACCACTTGTACACTCACCACTACACTCACCACTAGTGCACTCACCACTACACTCATTACTACTACACTCACCACCACTACACTCACCACTAGTACACTCACCATTACACTCACCACTACACTCACCATTACACTCACCACTACTACACTCACCACTAGTACACTCACCACTACCACACTCACCACTAGCACACTCACAACTACACTCACCACTAGTACTCACCACTAGTACTCACCACCTGTACACTCACCACTTGTACACTCACCACTACACTCACCACTAGTACACTCACCACTACACTCACCACTAGTACACTCACCACTACACTCACCACTTGTACACTCACCAATTGAACACTCACCACTAGTACACTCACCACTAGTACACTCACCACTACTACACTCACCACTTGTACACTCACCACTAGTACACTCACTACTACTACACTCACCACTACTACACTCACCACTAGTACTCTCACCACTACACTCACCACTACACTCACCACTAGTACACTCACCACTACACTCACCACTAGTACACTCACCACTACTACACTCACCACTACTACACTCACCACTAGTACACTCACCATCACTACACTCACCACTTGTACACTCACCACTACACTCACCACTACTACACTCACCACTTGTACACTCACCACTAGTACACTCACTACTACTACACTCACCACTACTACACTCACCACTAGTACTCTCACCACTACACTCACCACTACACTCACCACTAGTACACTCACCACTACACTCACCACTAGTACACTCACCACTACTACACTCACCACTACTACACTCACCACTAGTACACTCACCATCACTACACTCACCACTTGTACACTCACCACTACACTCACCACTACACTCACCACTACACTCACCACTTGTACACTCACCACTTGTACACTCACCACTTGTACACTCACCACTACACTCACCACTAGTACACTCACCACTAGTACACTCACCACTTGTACACTCACCACTACACTCACCATTACACTCACCACTAGTACACTCACCAATTGTACACTCACCACTAGTACTCACCACTACACTCACCACAACAAACCTGACAATTCCTTATCAGTGCCCTACCTTAGTACAGACCAATTCAGACCTTATTGGTCACCCCGTGCCCCTTATAAATCTCAACGTTCATCCTACAAAGTCCCATCACAAGGGAGAAACACAAATAGACACTCACCACTACGACACTCACCACTACTACACTCACAACTACACACCTGTCAACCCCTTATCAGTGTCCTACCTTAGTACAGACCAATTCAGACCTTATTGGTCACCCCGTGCCCCTTCTAAATCTCAACGTTCATCCTACAAAGTCCCATCACAAGGGAGAAACACAAACATATTGACAAATGTTTGTTGCCCGTATTGAAACGTCTCTACTCTGTATGGACCTGAACTCGATTTCCCTGTACAAGAATGCGGGGTAAACCGTGTGGGTTGACAGGTATGAGCGTTTGATTATGTGTCCTTCAAAGACCGCTTACAGATTGCCACAGGAGCGGCACGGTTAAGATCTGATTTGCAAAGTCTTCTATGGGAGTTGCATCATCGTCATCCTTAAATTGATTCACTTTGGTGTAGAGTTGACAGGTGTCCTTGAAGGAACCCACTCTTACAATCTCATCACCGCCGCCACCACCATAATCATCTGATATTCGGTCTTTCCCTTGTTACTGCCAAATCACCAAACCATCTACTGGGCATCTGTGAAACTCCTGGACATCTGTGGAAAAATTTATTTACAGCTCATCGGATTCCTCCAGTGTGAATAAACATTCTGATTCTGATGTCTTCAGGTTGAGCGGCCCACAGATGTGGTAACTTCAATTCAAAGGCCCAGACGTTTATTTCCTGAATTTGTGTGCAATATATTCCACATCAAATCGAACACGATTTAGAAAAATTTGGAAACAATATAATGCAACACAGAGGGTCGGTCAAAACACAATTAACGCATGGTCTGGTTGATTACGTT